CTAGCCAGCTCCTGATGTCTCTGATCCCTAAGCCTACTTACAGGTGGGGGAGATGAAGGTGGTGAGCTGCTTATGGCCTGCTCAATCCCAGGTGCAAACCGTCCTGTAGTTGACTCAGATTGCTGTGTATCCTCCTCAGTACTTACAGTAGGTGCAGATCCTGATGCTTCTTCAGCTCTTAAAGGCACTGAATCCTCCCCTCTTAGGCTGTCAGGAGCTGGCTCTGGGGCTGAGTCAAGGGCAGGCATGACACAGATACACATGCACCCCTGGAAGTTCTGCACAATCCTACTGCAGTTCCTGAGCATCACGACTGAGAAAAGTCTCTTACCTCAAAGCCAGGGATGTGGTGGATGGCCGGCTGGGAAAGGGGAAACAAAAATATTTAGTTCACTGCCCTGATTTGAAACATCAACACTCTTAAGGCTCAGTTCTCACCTATAAAGAGTCATATGGTGGGCCCCGAAAGGCAACCACAAAGGAGGAGGAGGAGGAGGAGATTGGATTTATACCCTGCCCTTCACTCAGAGTCTCAGAGCGGCTTACATTCTCCTTCCCCTTCCCCTCCCCACAACAGACACCCTGTGAGGTAGGTGGGGCGGAGAGAGCTCTTGACAGAAACTGCCCTTTCTGCTCTGCCAGAACTATGGCTTGCCCAAGGTCATCCAGCAGCTGCAAGTGGAGGCGTGGGGAATCAAACCACTACACCAAACTGGCTCTCACACCAAACTGGCTCTCGTAGAAGTAACAGAAGTAATCCCACATGGCAAGAAGCAGGAATTAAGCAGCTCCCCAAACTATTCCACTCATGCTTACAGCTCAGTGCAATGCCTCTTTGGACGTTTTTTTTGCAGTACCGTGTTGAAAAACTAGCTTTACTTCCACCTTGTCAGTGGGCTTTTCTGCATTCTTATTTCCCTTGCTTGTAAATTCCTGTTCATTCCTTTGCTTTTTGTCTGTTCCACACACGTTTGTCTCCCTCTGGTGGTCGATTTTATTTTAAACTGCAGGGTTTTCTGCTGGACATAAACCATCGTAATATCAAGTTGGCCACTGGAGGGAGCAAAACAAATGCAGAACTGGGGGGGGGACCCTGAAGGAACAGGAACTTACAAGCGAACGAAATGAGAATGCAGAAAAGCCTGCTGTTTCGTGTGGCCCGCATGGCATCATTTGCATTAGGCTAAACTGGCCAGAAGAGATCTTGCCACCATGGTGGCATGCCGCGGTAACATCTAGATTAGATTACTGCAAGGGGCAGCCCTCGATAAGGGTTCAGAAATTTCAATTGGTATGGAATGCTGCAGCCAGGATGTTGACTGGAATGGTTATAGGCAGGGGTCCTTTCGTAGAAAAAGAGGTGCAGGAGCTCATTAGCGTAACTCATTAGCATAATTTCTTTTCATAAGCCACACCCCCTGACAAAGGGCAGGCATGTTCAAAATGCCTTTCTTTCCCTTCCCCAGATGGGGAAGGGAAAGAAAGGCATTTAATTCCCCCCCCCCAGTTCCCCGAGTATCTCCGCAAAAGCAGAGAGGCTCGGGGGAGGGGGGGGTATAGGTTTGCCTGCCTGCCCTTCCCTACTCCTGGGCTTGTTACTCCTGGAACGCCGTTCCTGCTCGTTCTCCCTCGAATCAAAAGATTCCAGTCTTTGTTCATCTCACCACCTCCCCAGGCAGCCCATTCCACTGTTGCACAACTCTGACTGTCGAAACGTTCTTCCTAATATCCAGCCGGTACCTCCCCGCCCTTAATATAAACCCATTCTTGCAAGTCCTCTCCTCTGCTGCCAACTGGAACAGCTCCCTGCCCTCCTCCAAGGGACAGCCCTTCAAATCCTTCAAGAGGGCAATCCTGTCCCCCCTCAACCTCCTCTTCTCCAGACTGAACATTCCCAAGAAGTCCCTCGGCCTTTCCTCAAAGGGCTTCTTGGTCTCCAGGCCCCCCCAATCATCCTTCTTCCTACGAAGAATTAATACAGCAGGCTGCAAAGAGCTTTACCGACTCTGCTGTGTTCACCCTGTCCTTCCTGATGGTGCTGATATGCTAATCCAGAGCAGTCTTCCCTCTAAACTGAGTGTGAGCTAGCACACCGTTTTTTAGCCTCCGGCACACACATTTTTGTCTTAACTCAGGAAGAGAAGAGGAGATTGGATTTATACCCCATGGCCCTTCACCACCCAAAGGTGTCTCAGAGCGGCTCACAAACTCCTTTCCCTCCCCCTCCCCACAACAGACACCCCTGTGAGGTAGGTGGGGCTGAGAGAGCTCTGACACAAACTGCTCTTGAGAGAACAGCTCTTGTCAGAACTACGGCTTGCCCAAGGTCATCCAGCCAGGTGCAAGTGGAGGAGTGGGGAATCAAACCCGGTTCTCCCAGATTAGAGTCCACGCACTTAACCACGACACCAAAGAATATATTGGCTCTGAAGAAGCAGTAGAATCGAAACTCTCTCGGCCGACGAGAGACATCAGCCTGTTTTCTCAGCTGCCCTTCAGACCTGAAAGTTTGGAAACGAAGAAACAGCAAAGGAGATTACAGGGTTTTCAAGGACTGTATACAGCCCATTTACTGGTCTTGCTTTAGGAAGGTGTCTTTGAACTTGTGACTTTGTGCTTTAATAAGCCACCGCAAAACGGCTAGAAATATTCCGGGCTCAGATTCTCACATTGCTACGACAACTCAATTTTGCTCCTCCTCGGAACCCTTGCCGCTGCATCCAACGTTCACTGTCCAGGACTGAGCACAGTACCCTCCTGTTGTCTGCTCAGCCAGTGCAACTGTTTGCTGCGACTTAATTCCTCCCCCCCCCCTCCAGCCACCAAGATGTCAAAACTGGCTCAGCTGCCAGCCGTTTCCTTCTTGCCGCAAAGACCAGGCCAGAGCTGCCTTCCCCGGCCAGGCACCGTTCCTGACCCTTGCCAACGTCAACAGGGCAAGCGTGCCAGCTGGCGGGGGCTGCCCACAGACACGGCAGCCTCTCCTTCCCACCGCGAGGACTCCGAACGCACCTCCCTGCGGCAGAGCCCCTCCCGGCTGCCCAGCAGAGAGCTGTCGGAGCCATCGCCCCCGCCCCACCGCCCCGACTAATGGAGACATCATCCTAATGGGAGCGGACCCAGGAGCAACCCCTCCCACACACACACACACATCACAGGGGAAGGTGGAAGTAGGCCAAAAAGGTTCCTGTTTCCTCTGGAAGCGGCTCCTTCCCGTTCTCCCCCCCCCCTCCTAAACCTGACCGTGGCAGTGGTACAACAGCCGGCCTGCAAAGCAGTCTCTGAACTTTACTCAGGGTGGGCGAGAAGCAAGAAGTCAGGGGAGGGGAAGAGAGCCTCCGTCCCCGGGAACGGGGATCTGGCCCTTCCAGGCCTAGGGTTGCCAGCCTCCAGGTGGGGCCTGGAGATCTTGCAAGCCAGTTTGGTGTCGTGGTTAAGTGCGCGGACTCTAACCTGGGAGAACCGGGTTTGATTCTCCCAGTCCGCCTCTACATGCAGCTGCTGGTGTGACCTTGGGTCAGTTACAAGTTATTTCAGAGCTGTTCTCTCAAGGGCAGTCCTTGAGAGAGCTCTTTCAGTCCCACCTACCTCACAGAGTGTCTGTTGTGGGGAAGGGAAGGGAAAGGAAATTGTAAGCCGCTCTGAGACTCCTTCAGGTAGTGAAGGGCAGGGGTATCATAGAATCATAGAATGTTAGAATTGGAAGGGACCTTGCAGGTCATCTAGTCCAACCCCCTGCACTCTGCAGGAGCAGAGCCGAAAGATAGCCCTACAACATACCCGAAAGATGGTCATCCAGCCTCCACTTGAAAACGTCCAGCGAAGGAGCATCCACCACCTCCCGAGGCAGACTGTTCCACTACTCAACCACTCTTACAGTTAGGAAGTTTCTCCTGGTATTTAGCTGTTAACGACTCCCTTGTAATTTCCACCCATTAGACCCAGTCTTGTAATCCGGAGCAAGAGAGAATAGATCTGCTCCATCTTCTACATGACAGCCCTTCAAATACTTGAAGACTGCAATCATGTCCCCTCTGAGCCTTCTCTTTCCCAGGCTAAACATACCCAACTCTTTCAGCCTTTCCTCCTAAGACTTGGATTCCAACCCTCTCACCATCCTGGTTGCCCTCTTCTGGACACGTTCGAGCTTGTCAACATTCTTCCTAAAATGTGGTGCCCAAAACTGGACACAGGACTCCAGGTGAGGCCTGACCGTAGCAGAATAGAGCGGAATGACCACCTCCCGTGATCTGGACACAATGCTTCTGTTAATGCATCCTAAGATTGCATTAGCTTTCTTCGCAGCCACATCTCAGTGCAGGCTCATGTTTAGCTTGTGATCAACCAGAACACCCAGATCCCTTTCACATGTGCTCTGTCAAGCCAAGTCCCTCCCGTTCCATATCTGTGCTTTAGGTTTTTTGTACCTAAGTGTAGGACTTTGCACTTATCTCTATTGAAATTCATTATATTGGAATTCAGTATAAATCCAATCTCTTCTCCTCTTCTTCTACAGAGATCAGGTGTCCTCAGGGGGGAAATGGCAGCCGCAGACGGCAAGCCCTATGGCAGGACGTCTCTGCCGAGCTCCCTCCCTTCCCAAACTCTGCCGCCCCAGATCTCCAGGAATTTCCCAACCCAAAGCTGGCAACCCTCCTGAGTTCCAGCAGATGTGAGAAGATTCTTGGGTTCAGTGACAGACCGGCTGTTTTGCCTACAGAAAGCCCATTTCCGGCTGGAGGGTCTCACGCACCAGACGAGGAGGTGCCCACGGACTCACCTTCTCCCTCTGAATGAGCTCAAAGGCTGCCAGCAGCTCCCCTGCATTCCGGTTGCCCCTGAGGACGGGATGCCAGGACAGCCTCGTCGGCGTGTGCTCCAGGCTGGGTTTGCAGATGCAGCGGCCCATGAACTCGTCGGCGCCCTGGGTGGAGGGACAGACACGTTTGGCTCATTCTGTCCCCATGACATCGGTTTCCCACTTACTCTGCCCCAAGACAGGATGAACAAAGCAACAAGCAAGATGATAATCAAAATACTAGAACAAAGTTTGACTCCAGTGACACCTTTAATCAGGGCTCTTTTCGTAGAAAAAGCCCAGCAGGAACTTATTAGCACAATAGGCCACACCCAACAGCAGAAACTCATTAGCCTATTAGGCCACACCCCTGACAGTGCAGCTCATTAGCATATTAGGCCACACCCTACATTACCAGAAGTGTGGTCATCCAGCCACACCCACCTTTTGCTTCTTATTCTGTTTACCTTGTTTTGGTTTCGACAAAACCAATAAAAACATTATTTTTAAAAGGTTCAAATTCCATACTTTTAATAATTAATATTATATTTATTTTAAAAGTAACATTAACAGTAACATAAGCAAACATCTCAATGAACACTCTGGAACTTAAGACCAGCATAGTTTGATTCCGGGTGTCAGCTTTTGTGTGCATGCTCTGAAGAAGGGTATCACGCAGAAGCTGATACCCAGAGTCAAACTTTGCTGGTCTTAAAGGTGCCACTGGATTCAAACTTTGTTCTGTTGCTTCGGACCAACACGGCTACCCACCTGGATCTAAGAAAAGAGAAAGGGCTCCTGCCTCCCCACCAAGCCATTTTCCAGAGCAAAAACCATATCTGTGGGGGGGGGGAAGTTATTTCCCCTGTATTGCAGATCCATGTGCACAGGTGCTCAATGGGGCAAGGACCTTTCTTTCTTATTCTGTAAAACACCTTGATGATGCTATAAAAACAAATAACTGGAATGCACCTTCCTTTACAAACCACTGCGAAAAATCATCCCCCAAAGTCCCCATCCGATAGCATGTCGTTTTAACAAAAAGGAATGGGAATTGTGATGAGTGAATGAACGCTGCTCTTTTCCCGCAGGGAATTCTTCTGGACAAATCCCCATGGGAGCAAATGGGAGATGAATCAGGCCATATAGAATACTGCCTCTGTGTGTGTGTGTGTGTGGGTGTTGCAGAAGGATTATACATACATGCACCAATATACATATAAACGTGCATGAGTTCTTATTGCTTTAAATGCACCATATAAATATTATAATCAGGGTCTACCCTGTACTATGATCAGTTGTCATTGATTGATTGACTGACTGACTGATTGATTGATTGATTGATTGATTGATTTTTATCCCGCCCTCCTGGCCTAGGGCGGCTTACAAACAGGATAAAAGTTCCAATAATACATAAAACACAATTCGTTACTTAATACAATTTCCAATAAATAATAATTCAGTAATATAAAGACAATGTTAAAATCACACATGATATTAAAGTGCTAGCAATCCCCTCAGTCCCTTTACCGCCTGCCTACTGGGGATTTCCATACTTACGTAGGTGTCGTGGTCATAGATCTCCACCACGACACAGGGAGGAGAGCTGGCAACACTCTCGGGATCCCCAAAGATCTCGATCTCGTAGAAGATGAGCGTCTGGTCCCAGGTGGGGTTCAGGGTGTTCTTTTCCACCACTGTCTTTTGGCTTTGGTGAAGGAAGGAGACAGTGGCGTAGGGATCTGAAAACCCAGAGAGATAATTAAAATAATAGCGAAGGTGGAACCCCCAGTTTCTGCTAACCTTCCATTATGGCTTAGGACCAAGACATAGAAGAAAGAATCTCGAGATATTATGAGACTGGTAGAGAGCAGCGTTCCCTCTAAGCTGAGTGAGTGTGAGCTAGCTCACGGTGGTTTAGCCCCCGGCTCACAGATTTTTGTCTGAGCACAGGAAGGAGGGCTCCGGAGCAAACTGATTGATGCAGCAGCCAAATCGCTTGCTCAGAACTCTAATTCCAGTAGCTAACAAAGTAGAATTTTTGCTCACAAGACTCCAAAGCTTAGAGTCCTGTCTCAAGAAGCACAGAACTTCCAAGGACTATTTGTCCTCTCTTGAGAGCCAGTTTGGTGTCGTGGTTAAGTGCACGGACTCTCATATGGGAAAACCGGGTTTGATTCCCCACTCCTCCACTCGCAGCTGCTGGGTGACCTTGGGCAAGCCATAGTTCTGTCAGAGCTGTCCCTGAAAAAGAGCAGTTTCTGTCAGAGCTCTCTCAGCCCCACCGGTTACCTCACAGGGTCCCTGTTGTGGGGAGGGGAAGGGAAAGGAGTTTGTCAGCCGCTCTGAGACGCCTTTGGGTAGTGAAGGGTGGGGGATAAATCCAATCTCTTCTCTTCTTCTTCTCTTTCACACCTAGGAGAGTCTCCCTCCCAATTTTCCTCAGCAAGCGCATCAGATGTCCACACCACCAAGAACCAAAGCACTTCCTCTTTCTCGGAGAGTAGATCTGGACCAGGGAACCAAAGTGAAGCACCGCCCAGTGGAATTACGGAGCCACTTTTCCGCCTACCAGCTTGCTGCACCAGTTTCCAGCACTTTGCCCCCACCAGAGTCTCCTTTCAACTACAACATGGACGTGAATTGAATCTACCCCAATTTTAGGGCGTTTATAGAAAGTGGGTGGGCCTGGGTGGGGCTTTTGCACAGCAAGGCTCCTGACTGGCTACTGGAGATTTGATTGGTTGCACAGATTTTTTGAAGAAGAAGAAGAGGAGGAGGAAGGAGGAGGAGGAGATTAGATTATGCTCTAAGGATCAACATCTCTTGGTGGTCCCTGGCCCAAAGGATGTCCACGTTGCCTTGAACAGGGCCAGGGCTTTTTCTGCCCTGGCCCCTTCCTGGTCGAACATGCTTCCCGTTCGGATCAGGGCCTTGCGGGATTCACTTCAACTCCTCAGGGCCTGCAAGACGGAGCTCTTCCTCAGGGCTTTTGGCTGAGGCAGCGGGCGTCCACACATGGCCTCCCTGAGGCGTTTGTCACTGTGTTAATCAACTACTGGCTATGGCCAGGAACCTCCCACAACCAAGGAATTCCCCCCCCCCCTTATTATTACCTGTGACCACCATTTTAAATTGTTTTAAATGTTAATGTTATTTTATTAGCGATTGTCCGCATGGTCAAAGCAATGGTATTCCCAGTAGTCATGTATGGCTGCGAGAGTTGGACTATAAGGAAGGCCGAGCGCTGAGAATAGATTCTTTTGAACTGTGGTGCTGGAGAAGACTCTTGAGAGTCCCTTGGACTGCAAGGAGATCAAATCAGTCAGTTCTAAAAGAAATCAACCCTGACTGTTCCCTGGAAGGCCAGATAATGAAACTGAAGCTCAGATACTTTGGCCACCCAATGAGAAGGGAGATCTCACTGGAGAAGAAGACCCTGATGCTGGGAAAGATTGACGGTCAAAGAAGAAGGGGATGGCAAAGGATGAGATGGCTAGACAGTGTCATAGATGCAACGAACATGAAGTTGAGCAAACTTCAGAGGCCAGCAGAAGACAGGAGGGCCTGGCGGGATCTGGTCCATGGGGTCGGACTCAACTGTGCGACTGAACAGCAACAACAAACTTATGTTTTCTTGATTTTTTTTTGGTGCAATGAAAATTCAAGTGTGTGGAATGTCATTTAATCGCAACTGTTACTATAAATGATGTTGCTACCCGCCCTGAGCCCGCTTCTGGTAAGGGCGGCCTATAAATGTGAAGAAATAAATAAATACATTTATATCCCGCCCTTCACTCGGAGTCACTCGGAGCGGCTTACAACCTCCTTCCCCTCCCCACAACAGACACCCTGTGAGGTGGGTGGGGCTGAGAGAGCTCTTTTTTCGAGAACTGCTCTTTCAAGGCAGAACTGTGGCTTGCCCAAGGTCATCCAGCAGCTGCAAGTGGAGGAGTGGGAAAAGGCGCAGCTCAAAACCACATTCAAATACCCCAGGGCAGTGCCGTACTGACTGTGAAGTCACCCCTGGACAACTGTAAAACGGTCATAAATCTATGCAGAAGGTACCATAAAACCTGACGGTCAAAGGAAGTGGATGTGGCATGCAATGCAAAGGGTACGATAAAACCCAATGGTCAAAGGAAGCAAAAGCAGCGTGCAGCGCAGAGGGGAATTTCTGTTCCAACGTGGGTTTGGTAAAGCAACGGAGGGAAAAGCAGAATTGCCCTGTGTTTCAAGTAAAAGGCGAAAGATTTATGCGATCTGAAGAGAAACCAGCCCTGTGTGAGGCTGGAAGCGTGCTCTTCTTCCTACTGGATGGAGAGAACCAGGCCGAGCCGCCGCCCGTTCTCTGTGCCACCGCTGCAGAGCAGAGCTGTGTGAGTCGTTACCCCACACACACACACACCAGCACCACCGGCATCCCAGCTAATGCAGCTTTTTAATGAGCCAGACTGTTTGCGATACGATCGGCTAGCACAGGCAGACCTCCTGCTAGGAAGAACATCTCAGGCTTGGCTGTTTGGGTTTCTGAAAAAACCCCAAGCCAGAGGAAGGTTGAATGCACTGCCATAAACAGAATTTCAAGGCCTTCAAAAAGCCCCTTTGTTTCAGCTTTGTATCGGCACCGGGTTTTATTTTTATAACCGCAGAAGGCCTCCGTCAAGCTTCCCTTTATGCTTTGTTCGGCCAGCGGGCAAAATCACAATTCCACATAGCCTACGTCTCTGGCCCGTGTTGTCATTGGCCGGCGTCCACCCAAAGAGAGCAACGCCCATTCGGCCTGGCCAATCGGGAGAGATGAGGTCACTCCTTCCGGGAGTCGGTTTGAATTCAGGGCGAAGCAGAAAGAGAGGTGAAAGAACAGGCATGCCACGTGGGGAGGGCGGGTCCTGCTGGGTGGGGAGGAAGTGGAAGGACGCTCGCTGGATCCCATATCAGGATCGGGGGCAGAACGGGGCCCCGGAGCATGGAGTCCAAGAACAGAACGGAGGCACCATGAGGAACGGCACATGGCAGACGTCGAGGTCTCGGCAAAACAAGCCGCGCCCATGGCAACGTCCACACCCTCTCACTTTCCAATGGAAAGTGGAGTTAGGACAGAGGGGACGGTGCCAGCAAGAGATTAAAAGGGATTCCAGTTATTCCCCCCCCCCTCGTTTATGAACACTGCCTGAAAGGGCTTCGTTCCACTTGGTTGGCGGGTCGAGGATCTCTGAATTCGTCTTGGAGAGGGGACAGTCACCACCTCTGTGGTGTAGTGGTGCAAGAGCCAGTTTGTGGTCCAAGAGCCAGTTTGTGGTGCAAGAGCCAGTTGGGTGTCGTGGTTCAGTGCGCGGACTCTAATCTGGGAGAACCGGGTTTGATTCCCCACTCCTCCACTTGCACCTGGCTGGATGACCTTGGCCAAGCCGTAGTTCTGACAAGTAAAGCAAAACACAAAAAGGAAACTGTGCAAGAGCTGCTGCAGTTTATATCCCAAAAGTCTATATTTCCGTGTAATGCCGAAAGTCCATTTGTTTTTTTCAGACATCAAAGAAGTTTTTTTCAGACATCAAAGAAGTCTTCACAAAGGTCATGATGACGAAACTCTCCGGATTAACAATTCCCGTTTCGTAGAGCCTTCGTCAAAGACCAACAACACAAAGATGTCATTCCGTATTTGTCAAAGAGCAATCCTTCCATTCTCAAAATATACAGTTTCTAATCCGTGCCATGGAATCAATTCTAATACATGTTTTCACAGAGCAGGCAAGCTAATCAGGACAAGAGCTGTTCTCTCAAAGACATCAGGTTCCTCAACCTTTTTCAGCCTGGAGGCATCTCTGGGGAGACAGTTTGGTGTAGTGGTTAGGAGCACGGACTCTAATCTGGGAGAACCGGGTTCGATTCGTCACTCATCCTCCACATGCAGCCAGCTGGGTGACCTTGGCTCAGTCACAAGTTCTTTCAGGGCTGTTCTCTCAAGGGCAGTTCTCGGGAGAGCTTTCTCAGCCCCGCCGACCTCACAGGGTGTCTGTGGTGGGGAGGCCCCTTGCCAGCAGGAAGCAGAACATGAGGTCCAGAGAAGACCCAGCCGTGATCCGTGTCAGTTGGGGGCCAGGCTCCACCAAGACCCAAAGCTAGGAACGGAGGCCCCACGGAATCAGGGTTCTCAGTTCCGGCCTGGGAGATTCCTGGATATTTGGGGGCACAGCCTGGGCAGGGTGGAGTTTGGGGAGCCCAGCGTGGATGTGGTGCCCGAGAGTCCGCCCTCCTCCGTGCCGACTTTCTCCTGGGACCTGATCACACCTGTCTGAAGAGCTTCAGGCCCCACCTTGTAGTTGGGAGCACTGTTCCCCCTAAGCCGAGTTAATGTGAGCTAGCTCACAGTTTTTTAGCTTCCGACTCACACATTTTTTTCTTAGCTCAGGAAGGGATGGCTCCAGAGCAAACTAATTTATGCAGTAGCCAAATCACTCGCTCACAATTTTAATGCCAGGAGCTCACAAAGTAGAATTTTTGCTCACAAGACCCCACAGCTTAGAGGGAACATTGGTTGGGAGCCCCATGCGGGATTGGCTGCTGGAGCATTTGGAGTGTGGCCTCCAAGCCTTTACTCATTGTGAAGAAATGCATTGTCTCCTGGAGGGTCGGCATGTGGAAAAAGTCTTCCCTGTGCGTTTTACCAGTTTGCTTTTTTCTCTAGTCAGAGGAGGAACTCCATTTGCTGGGGACCTCAGCTCACCTTCTAACAAATGCTAATGACTCTAGTAGGGAAGACAATGGGACCGTTAAGCCTTCTCCCCCCTTCCCCAGGGAGGAAGCAGAGTTTGGAGGACTTTAGGCTAGACCAGCCCCAGATACAATCTCCAGGAATGGGCTGGAGGAAACACTTCTTTCACCTGGTGTGACCTGGTCAAGGGGGCAGAGGCAGAGAGTTGATAAAACTTCCTTGCAAGGGGAAGCTGCTCTCTTTTCCCTTGGGATGCAGACAGCTCAGCGACCTGACCTCAAAACTAGAATTCCTCTTGTTTGCTTCCCCAAGCGTGGAACGGCTCCTTCCCAGAGTTGCCTGAGAAGCTGCAAATCATTTTCTACACACAACAACAGCCGCTTCTCAGACCTGATGAAGGATATTTCCCAGTAAACTGAAAACACCATCTCCGGGAACACTGCCACCGACTCCTTTCTGCAGACCAAGTATTGTTCTTGAGTTCAGTGTCCCAGGTTGGAAGCCAGGAAGCACATTTGCTTACAATTTGCCATCTTACTGAGAAGTCCAAGTGTGCGTTTTTTTAAAAAAAATAATTGAAAAAGAGGAAAATATGTGTCCAAAACGGTGGAGGTCTACATGGTATAGACAACCACTGCCAGCATCATAAGTTATAAAGTATTGATTAAAAGGGAAAATGTTCACAAGCATACTTTAAGCACTGCTCCAGATTTAAGCAAGGGAAGCAAAAGGAATGGGTAAAAAAGCAAATCCTCTGTCCCTCTCACTATACAGGCCCTATCAGGTGTTAAAATAGGACAGGCTCCTTAAACTTAGGATGTTAGAAATCTTTGCAGAGTTGACATTATCTTGCAGCTGTCTGTAGGTCTCTGGGCAAGCACATGATCAGAGAGGGCTGCCTTTCCAGAGGAGACATCTGCATGCGATCATGTCCTCAGCACCCAGAGACTGCCTTCCTCTTGCAAGGAGATTGTACCATCTCTGTTTCTCCACCCCGCTGACCCAGCCAGGCCAGGTCAAGGAAGCGTTTCCTGCAGCGTTTTTCTGGAGAATACTCCTGGAGATTATCTAGCATTCTAGTCTTCCAAATCTCTGTTCTCTGCTAGGGCAGGGGAAGAGGGAGAGACCCTACCCCAATGTCTCTAGCTAAATCTATTAGTATATGTATACAGCTTAGTATATGTATACATATTATATACATGCATATTAGTATATGTATACAGGTTATAGGAGCCAGTTTGGTGAAGTGGTTAAGTGCGTGGACTCTAATCTGGGAGAACCGGGTTTGATTCCCCACTCCCCTACATGCAGCTGTTGGTGTGACCTTGGGTCAGTCATAAGTTCTGTCAGAACTGTTTTCTCAAGGACAGTTCTTGGGAGAGTTCTCTCAGCCCCACCCACCTCCCAGGGTGCCTGTTGTGGGGAGGGGAAGGGAAAGAAGTTTGTAAGCCGCTCTGAGACTTCAAGTGAAGGGCAGGGTATAAATCCTCCTCTTCTCCTCTTCTCTTCTTCTTCTTCTATATGTATACAGGTTACCTTGCACCAACTCCACCCCACCCACTCCGTTCCCAGCCCAGGGGGGGGGGGAACCTGTTAAGACACAAAAGGGAGATTTGGTTCGCTCCCAGCCCCCCAGGAGAGAAAAAGACATTTCTTCACAGGGCGTCACTTAGACTTTCTGCCCGGAGGTAGGTGGGGCTGAGAGAGCTCTCCTGAGAACTGCCCTTGAGAGAACAGCTCTGAGAGAACTTGAGACTGACCCAAGGTCACACCAGCAGCGGCATGTGGAGGGAGTGGGGAATCAAACCCGGTTCTCCCAGAGTAGAGTCTGTGCTCCTAACCACGACACCAAACTGGCTCTGAATCAGACCATTGGTCCATCAGGGTCTGTATTATCTGGCAGTGGCTCTCCGGGGTTTCACAGGATCTACTACAGCACAAAAATGTTCAATATTTTTTTTTTAATACTCCTTGATCCTTTAACTGGAGATTCTGGGGATTGAACCCAGGACTTCCTGCATGCCAAGCAGAAGCTCTACCACTGAACCACAGCCCCTCCCCAGTGAAAGCCCCAGACAGCTGCTGCCAGTCTGAGCAGACAATACTAACGGAGGTGGACCAATGGTCTAATACCGTCTAAAGCAGCTTCATGTTCCCCTTTGCCGGTTCTGGGCCTGTCCTGTTGGGGCAGCAGAAGACCTGGATGTTCTGCCAGTTCCACCTCCGGAACTCATCGGAGCCTGAAGTTCAGAAGGCAAAGTGGGATGGAAACACTCCTTCCACGTCTCCCCCAAAGGGAGCCCCTCGCTTGGCAGCCAGGCAAAGCAAAGTCACGGGCGACCTACATCGACTGTCACGCCTGGGTGAGAACGGGTGCACTCCTCCGGCTTCCTTGGCAGAACCTCCCAGAGGCTGCTGTTTGGCATGTGTGCATGTGTGTAGAACAGCAACACCACCCCTGCTGTGTCAAACTGGAGCCAAATGATACCAGCCAGGTTCATAGCTACAGTGGGGCAACAGGGGGGCTAGGCCCCCTGACTTGCTGGCAATGCCCCCTGACTGCCCGTCCAGCCCAGGGCATCACGGCCTTCTCCCCTGAATTAATTTGATTAGCCAGTGCCCCCTAAGAAATTTAAATGTTCCCTGACTGAAAAAATCCTGGCTACGGGCCTGATACCGGCGTTGCATTTGATGCTGGGATACGTATGGCAGCCGGCCGGCAGAGGTCCACAACTGCAAGGTTCGGGAGGGCAGCCTGCGTGCAAGCTCACCTGAGAAGCTGTCTTTGTCCATGGCAGCCAGATCCCTTGCTTGATAGATGTAGCAGCGCAGGTGGTACCGGTTCCCGTCTGCAACATGGAAAACAAAGGAGAAAATTCACCTAGCGTCATGGCCAGGCTTCCAAAGCAGCTCCCTGGCTGAACTCTCAGAACCAGGAGATCTTTATGCCAGGGAAGAAGAAGAAGAAGAAGAAGAAGAAGAAGAAGAAGAAGAAGAAGAAGAAGGAGGAGGAGGAGGAGGAGGAGGAGGAGGAGATTGGTTTTATACCCCATGGCCCTTCACTACCTAAAGGTGTCTCAGAGCGGCTTACAAACTCCTTTCCCTTCCCCTCCCCACAACAGACAGACACCCTGTGAGGTGAGTGGGGCTGAGAGAGCTCCGACAGAAACTGCTCTTATTCAAGGACAGCTCTTGTCAGAACTGTGGCTTGCCCAAGGTCATCCAGCCAGGTGCAAGTGGAGGAGTGGGGAATCAGACCCAGTTCTCCCAGATTAGAGTCCGTGCACTTAAGCACTACACCAAACTGAAGAAGAACAGATTGGATTTATACCCCGCCCTTCACTACCCGAAGGAGTCTCAGAGCAGCTTACAGACTCCTCTCCCTTCCCCTCCCAACAGACACCCTCGGAGGTAGGTGGGGCTGAGAGAGCTCCCACAGAAATGGCTCTTTTTCAAGAACAGCTCTTGTCAGAACTACGGTTTGCCCAGGGTCATCCAGCCAGGTGCAAGTGGAGGAGTGGGGAATCAAACCTGGTTCTCCCAGATTAGAGTCCGCGCACTTAACCACTACGCCAAACTGGCTCAGCTACAGGCAGTCCGCAGGTGGGGGGAGTGGCGGCAGTAAAGGCCCACCTTTGGGTCCTGTCCCCACCCCAGACAACCAAGCTTTGGGTAAGCCTGATCCCCTAAGAAAGACCCCTCTGGTAGGTTTCAAGTCCCAAGTTGATCCAGTTGTGCTAAAGGTTCCCACTGATCTAGAATGCGGCAGTGTGTGTCCTGACAGGGACACCACGGACTGCGCATATTCAACCTGTGCTGCACCGGCTGCACTGGCTTCCAGTGGTGCACCGAGTTAAGTTCAGGGTTTTGGTTTTGACCTTTAAGGTCTTGAGCAGACTGGGACCAATGTATCTGCGGGACCGCCTCCTCCGTGAGCACCCCCGGGAGAGCGTTATGCTCTTCACAGAATAACTTACTGGTGTTCCCCGGCCCTAGAGATACCCGGCTGTCCTCAACCAGGCAAGCCGGTGGAACTCTCTGCCAAATAACTTCAGGGCCCTGCGGGATCTTATGCAGTTCCGCAGGGCCTGTAAGGCAGACACCTTGCCAAGGGGTGTGCCAGTGCTGGCTGTCTTAAATACAAGGGCTTTAGTTGTCCCATGGTGTTTTCATAGCACAGTGAGCTATGAGAAGTGGCTCAAATTGGTGTCGCACCCTGGCCTGCCCAAGGAGGGTGCCAGTAACGGTGTTTGAAGCCGGAAGATAGCAGAGTTGTTGTGGTAGAGTATTTACAGTTTATTTACAGAGCTTATATACATACACACAGCTTGCAGCAGTTCAGAATCCTCACTGACAAACTGCTTCGCTAACAACACAACCATAAGGCAGGCTACTTGGTCAAGAACTCATTGCAATATATATACATGTTGACCAATCACAGTACAGTACTGTACATTTGCTTAGTCATTCTGACATCTGCAGATATGATGCAACCATAGGTATCATGTGACCTCCTAGCTGTCACTTTTAGATCATCTGGATCTAAGTCATGTTCCATGACATGCTGTGATCTTGTGTGTGTGTGTGTGTGTTAAGTTTTAGTTTGCACCTGAAAGCCTCCAAGAGATTAGGTGACCAGTTGGCCACAATTCAACTGAAACTTTCAATTCCTGATGATCTATTAAGGAATAAAACCCAGCTGAAGGAATGGGTGTTCAGAAAGGATGGGCTTATGGATCAGGGTGTGGTGGCACGTTGTCTTACGGCACCATTATTCAAGTTTTTTAAAAGGGATCACTGTATGTCCCTGTATTTAGAGAAGTTAACCAGCCTGGAATGAAGATCGGCTTTTACAGCTTTAAGATTTCAATCCATGCCCTCAGTGATCAGGACTGGACGTTTCTTTGATATCCCTGCCCCCCCCCCTTAGACTTTGCCTTTGTGATATGGGGGAAGTTGATGACCCTTCACAGACAGAGGCCTTATATCGAATGCAGGGACGCCGCAAAGGGAAGGAGACCGGTTGAGCAGGGGAGGCCAGTGTCCTCTGGACATCCGCCGTCTCAGCCAAAAGCCTGGGGTGGAACAGCTCCGCTGGCTCTCGGCTGGTCCCTTTCTGGGCCTATTCAGTATTCTTGCACAGCGGAGAAAAAGCCAGGCTCCCAGCAGGGGTCACTTACAGTCAAATATGCAGGAAATGGTCGGCCGATTCACGCCAAAGTTGAGCGTTGATACTGATTTCCCATCGTCACTCTTATCGTCTGTCACTCCACCCTAGAGGAACACAGAGGAGGGCAACCAAGATGGTGAGAAGAAGGAGAAGAAGAAGGAGAAGAAGAGGAAGAGGAGGAGGAGGAGGAGGAGGAGGAGGAGGAGGAGATTGACTTTATACCCCACCCTTCACTACCCAAATGAATCTCAGAGCAGCTTACAATCTCTTTTCCCTCCCCCTCCCCACAACAGACACCTTGTGAGGGAGGTGGGGCTCAGAGAGCTCTGAGAGAAAGTGCTCTTTTTCAAGGACAGCTCTGACAGAACTATGGCTTGCCCAAGGTCATCCAGCAGGTGCAAGTGGAGGAGGAATGGGGAATCAAACCCAGTTCTCCCAGATTAGAGTCTGCGCCCTTAACCACTTCACCAAAAGAAGAAGGAAGAAGGAAGAAAGGAGGGGAAGGAGGAGAAGAAGAAGAGATTGGATTTATACCCAGCCCTTCACTCAGAGTCTCAGAGCGGCTTATGAACTCCTTCCCCTTCCCCTCCCCACAATAGACACCCTCTGAGGCAGGTGGGGCTGAGAGAGCTCTGAGAGAACTGTCCTTGAGAGAACAGCTCTTATCAGAACTATGGCTTGCCCAAGGACATCCAGCCAGGTGCAAGTGGAGGAGTGGGGAATCAAACCCGGTTCTCCCAGATTAGATTAACCACGACATCAAACTGAGGGTGTTGGAGCACCTTCCATATGAGGAAAGGCTGAAGACTCTCTGGGGCTTTTCAGTTTACAAAAGAGACGACTACAGGGGGGGACACATGATTGACCAACGCCTTTTCATCACCGCACTCTACTACCGCAGGTACGGGAATCATCGAGGGTGCGGGATGTCCCTAGTGGACAACTGGGTTGTGGGGACATATATTGTTGCTGTTGTTTAGCTAAAACATCTCCAGAATACCATCTTGGTTTTATTATTCGGAGTATCGGAGCACCAAAAACTTATTTTTACTAATTTTAATTAATTGTAATACTTGTATTATTGCATTTTATACTGTTTTTATTGTTACAGTTTGGCATTTATGCCTCTGTTAGCCACCCTGAGCCTTCGGGGAGGGCGGGATACAAATCCAAAGAATAAATAAATAAGTAAAATAAAACTTGGTCTTAAAGGTGTCACTGGACTGTTTTGGACTAGGGGCCGGGGGGGGGGGGCTCTGCAACTTACCTGGCTGCTTCTTGCTCTGACTGAGGGCTGCTGGGAGCAGGGGGTGGGGCTTGTTGCATGTGCCCACCCCCTGGGCTCTTTACTGCCGGAGCTCCGCTCCTGTGTGCTCCTGCAGGAAATGACCCCTGCTCCTGGCCAATAACATTCATGAAGCTAACTTCTGTGAACAGGGCGCCACAAAATCAAAAGGAGACTCATTTGAGCACTTGGGGCGAGGGACTTCTATCACCTCTCCATTGCAGCAGCCACACTACAAGCAGGCCCGTGCTTTCTGAATTAATGTGGAACCAATCTTTCAATATTGCCAATTATCAGATGTCTGGAGATGGCTTTTCCAGACACCTGGGGGGGGAGGCCCCTGCCTGGTCCCAGGAACGTGTCAGGACCTCAGGTGGTCCAGAGAGTCCTCCAGAAACCACATCAGGAATAGCAATTACCCACGATACTGCTGCACAGGAAACCCTGGAGTTTGCAGCGCCATCCATTTAAAATAATTAGGTCATGTGGATGTTTTAGAGGCAAGTCTCCCGAGTTTCCTTTGCCCCTCTCTTCCTCCCCCTCCCCGTATCCTGCTTGTGTGTGTCCCCAAACCTTTTCTCTGGCTGCATTTGCTGGAAGGAAGACCCAGTGCCAGGTGAACAGTTCAACCATGGCTCCTGCAACATTTCCAAAAGCGCTGGGTTAAGACGCTGGGCTTGGAAGCTTTCTGGGGAGTTCCGGCAGTGCCAAAGCACAAAGACGTCTGGATTTGGCCAAACGGGCCTGCACGGTCTGCCGTTTGGCATCCCCACCACCACCACCAGTCCCCCAATCCCCATCCCTTCCGCTGCTGCTCTCTGCTGCTTTGTCTTGAATTTCAAGCACTGAAGCTTGGGGGTAGATTCTGAGTTTATGGACAGTCCGTACAAGGACAGGAGAGCCAGTTTGGTGTAGTGCTTAGGAGCACGGAATCTAATCTGGAAGAGCCAGGTTTGATTCCCCACTCCTCCACATGCAGCTGCTGGTGTGACCTTGGGTCAGTCACAGTTCCTTCAGAGCTGTCCTCTCAAAAGCAGTTCTCAGGAACAGCTCTCTCAGCCCCCCACCTACCTCACAGGGTGTCTGTTGTGGGGAGGGGAAGGGAAGGAGATTGTCCAGCTTACCTAAGGGAACGCCTTTCCTCATATGTTCCCCCGCGAGCACTACGTTCTGGGACCCAACACCTCCTGGCGATGCCAGGTCCCAAAGAGGACAGGCTGGGGCCAGGGCTTTCTCGGTGGCGGCTCCTACCTGGTGGAATGAGCTCCTGGAGGAGATCCGGGCCCTGCGGGATCTTGTGCAGTTCCGCAGGGTCTGCAAGACGGAGCTCTTCCGCCAGGTGTATGAGTAGGAGCCGCCACTACCATCATTATCGTTCCATCATACCTGGCCCTGGAAGAAGGAACATCAGCGTCTTCCGGAACAGATAACCTTGAATAGTAGAGCAGTACACCATCTTGTGGAATATTATATTAGAACATTCAGAGCACTTTTGTTAATGATAATGTTATTGTATTGTAATGATTTTAAATGGTTTTACATATGTTTTTATATTGGCTTGTGCCTCCTTGTAAGCCGCCCTGAGCCCGCATGTGCGGGGAGGGCGGGGTATAAATTGAATAAATAAATAAACCGCTCTGAGACTCCAAGTGAAGGGCAGGGTATAAATCCAATCTCTTCCTGCTCCTCCTCTTCTTCTTCATCAGCCACTGCATCAAGCTATGTCTGAAGTCAGACTAATGGGTCAAGTGCCCACCTGCCAGACCCCGTTCCTACCACGTCAAGACTAAGGCAGAGAGTGAAGCGATGGTGAAAATGTTGGAAATGTATGTGTTTACAAGGTCTGATTCAGTCATTATGGGGTTAACTTGTATTCCTAGTTTGCTATTGTTTAGACTGACCTGGAAGGGATACCTGGCACTGAGCCAATGGGGAATTAGCCCGGGAAAAGTAGCTTCTACTTTGATGCAGATTGGTCATTTGTTTCAGGTGACTTCCTTTCTAGGGGTCAAGAAGAAGGAGAGAACTCCTCCATTACGTGTGTGCTTGTTTTGTCTGTAGGCAGCATAGAAATGTAGCTCTTAGTGTTATGTTGATTTGTAGTAATCCCGTGAACCCTTTTCCCTTAGAATAAAGTATTTTTAAAAGCAAAGAACTCTCTTCTTTCCAATAGAGCAAGATCCATCAAATAGTCTAAGTATTAAACAATTTTTGACTATTTTACAACAGAAATGACATCCAAGAAAAGGACCCAGAAACCCTGCTCACATGTTGCAGGGAACACACATACACCCTGCATGCATGTGTGTACATCGACCTGTGAAAAAGAATCAGCACTCTTTCACTTTACAAATGAAGCCAGGGGTCTGGACTTGCACGACTGGGGGGTTTCAAGCACATGAGAACCACTCAATGCATGTATAAAGAGAGATCAAGTGCATACTGTACACGTACGGTACAAGCTGGTTTCGGTGGGTAGGGTGCATAGCCAAGTTGGTCTCCAGTAGGATTTGAGTCCAGAAGTGCCTTAAAGACCAACAAGAGTTCCGGGGTATAAGAATAGAAGAAGAGATTGGATTTATACCCCGCCCTTCACTCAGAGACTCAGAGCGCCTTACGATCGCCTTTCCTTTCCCCTCCCCACCACAGACACCCTGTGGGTCTGAGAGAGCTCTTTCAAGAACTGCCCGTGAGAGAACTGCCCGTGAGAGAACTTGTAACTGACCCAAGGTCACCCAGCAGCTGCATGTGAAGGAGTGGGGAATCAAACCCGGTTCTCCCAGATTAGAGTCTGTGCTCTTAACCACACCAGATTGGCCTTTCGAGGGTCACCACTCTGATGCAGGGAGCTTTGACTCTCCAGAACTAGTACCCCGGAAACCTTGTTGGTCTCATGGGCTACTAGAGGCAAGTATGGTACAAGCAGGGGCCACTGCTTCAAGACTGCCAGGGAGGGGGAGCTCACCACCTCCCCAGGCAGCTGAGTCCAACTCTGACTGTCAAAGAGTGTTTCCTAAGATCCAGCTGGTACCTTCCCACCCTTAATTTAAACCCATTCTCGCGAGTCCTCTCCTCTGCTGCCCACAGGAACGGCTCCCTGCCCTCCTCTAAGGGGCAGCCCTTCAGATCCTTCAAGAGAGCCATCCTGTCCCTCCTCCACCTCCAGTTTGGTGTCGTGGTTGAGTGCGCGGACTCTAATCTGGGAGAACCGGGTTTGATTCCCCACTCCTCCACCTGCACCTGCACCTGACTGGATGACCTTGGGCAAGCTGTAGTTCTGTCAGAGCTGTTCTTGAAAAAGAGCCGTTTCTGTCAAGAGCTCTCTCAGCCCCACCCACCTCACAGGGTGTCTATTGTGGGGAGGGGAAGGGGAAGGAGTGTGTGAGCCGCTCTGAGACACCTTTGGGTGGTGAAGGGCCATGGGGTATAAATCCAATCTCCTCCTCTTCCTCCTCCGCCGCCGCCTCTTCTTCATCTTCGATTCTCTGATTCTCTCTTGAAGTATTTGAAGGACTTTCCCTAGAGCTGGGCAGGGAGCTGTTCCTGTTGGCAGCAGAGGAGAGGACTCGCAATCATGGGCTTGAATTCAGGGCGGGAAGGGACTGGCTGGGTCTTAGGAAGAATTTTTCTACAGTCAGAGTTGTGCAGCAGTGGACTCGGCTGCCTGGGGAGGTGGTGAGCAGTGTTCCCTCTAAGCTGAGTTAGTGTGAGCTAGCTCACAGTTTTTCAGCCTCCGGCTCACACATTTTTGTCTTAGCTCAGGAAGGAGGGCTCCAGAGCAAGCTGATTTATGCAGTAGCCATATTGCTTGCTCACAAC